CACTCAGGAGGCAAACTCTCTTGAGTTTGAGGCCAGCCTGGTCTACAGAGTGACTTCCAGGCCTGCCAGAGCTACACAGTGAGATCCTGTCTCAAAACAAAGAGAGATATTGTGAGAACAGTCAGTCAGTGAGCCTCTGAGCTCAGTTGTAACCTCCACGGGACAGGGGGAGGTGGGTGGAAGAAACCTGTTAGAGAGTATGCCAGCTTATGGCTCCCCAGATGGAATCGGAGGCATGGAAAGCCGGCCCAGGCTTCTCCTCCTTTCCCACTCTACACACTTCTGAAACAATCTCACCCACACATCTACACGCTGGTAATAGGAAAATGTCCGTTTTCCAACACAGATGGAGTGCCTGCCTTTGGAGCCATCAAGCCAGCTTCCTCAACCCCCTATCTTTAGCACGACTGCTTTGAAAGAGCCATCAATATCAAAAGTCAGCTGGGGGTGGCGGCAGGAAAATCATGGGTTCAGAGCCAGCCTGGGGTACACAGTGAAACCTTGTCCTTGAAAGTAACTTCTAGGCCCCAGAAATCAAGAATCCGGCTGTTTCCTCAGTCCTCTGTTCCTAAGTGACCCCGACTGACAGCTTGAGGCTGGTGACTCAGAAAGGACCTCTCATTTCTGCAAAGATGACTCAGGATGTAAACCTTGCCAGAAACTAGAAGGTTAGGGCTTTGAGCCATCCGGTCATATCACTCTGACCTCTCTAGGCTGTAGACTATGCTCAGCCCGTGGCCAGTGACTGAGTCTCATGTTGACGTGACACCAGCTAGAGTCTATGAGAGAGAACCTCAACTTAGGAAGTGCCCCTCCCCATCAGACTGGCCTGTGGGAAAGTCTGTGGTACACTTTCTTGATCAGTGTGGGAGGGCTCAACTCGCTGAGCAGTGCCACCCCTGGGCAAGTAAAGGCAAGAAGAGTAAGCAAGCCACGGAGAGTACACTGACTGCTTGAGTTCCTACCTCCAGGTTCCTGGTCTGACTTCCTTCAAGGATGGGCGGTGACATGGAAGTGTAAGCTGAGATAGATCCTTTTTGGGGGGGGAGATGGGGGGGTTTGAGACAGACAGGGTAGCCTTGGCCGTCCTGGAACTCACTCTGTAGACCAGGCTGACCTCGAAACTCAGAAATCCACCTGCCTCTGCCTGCCTCTGCCTCTCGAGTGCTGGGATTAAAGGCGTGCGCCACCACTGCCCGGTGAGATAGATCCTTTCTGCCTCAAGTTGCCTTTTTGATCAGGGTGTTTCATTGCAGCAATAGTAGCCCTAATGGAGACACTCGTTTATCTGGAGCTTGGATGAGCTGCCCTGGCTGGCATCAAACCACACACTCCCACACTGACGTACCAGGAGAGTACTTCAAACTGAGCTCACAAGGAAGGGCAATGGATGCTGGATTTCGGATGCTCTGGACCATGCTGCACCTTTCCCTTCGGCTGGTTCTAGCCTGTATCTTTGAGTTCTAGGATTCATTCTAGCCAACTGCTCACCTCGAATGGCTAGGGTACCTCAGAATTTATAGCCAGCTGCTCAGAAGTGAGAGCTGCCTGGGAATCTCTCAATTTGAGTTTGGCTTTTTGGTTTGTTTGTTTTGTAGACAAGGTCTTGCTATGTCACCGTGGCTGGCTTAGAACTCAGAGACCAGCCTGCCTCTGCCTCCCAAGTGCTGGGGATAAAGGTGTGTGCTACTGTGCCTGGCTGCAACTTGAGTCCACAGCCATGGCAACTTTGGCCAAGACTAGCCTCAACCTGGGAGGTTTGGCCTATATGGTGGTAGCTGGTGAGAAGTCACTGTGCCCTGGAGAACTACAAAATTGTGTTGTTACAGAGAACAGCCAATGTATCCAGCCAGCCACCAAGCTGCTCACAGAACACATCAGGTTGTCACTGATCTTTCTGCCCTCCTTTCCATAAAAAATGTTACCTTTTATTTAAAAAAAAAAAAAAAAGGTCCTTCCAGGTCAACTTCCTAGAAAATTCTGACTCCACCCTCCTCTCTCCAACTCCTGCCAAGCTCTGAACCCCTACACGAAGGGAGTAAAAACTCAGGTTCCCCAAAGAAGGCACATCTGTGAGGATGGGGAACACAGCCGAATCATCTTGCGCCATCTGTGGTCTCAGTAGCCATTTGTCCCCAGCCTCTCTACTGACCCAGGACATCCGGCTAGTGGGTGTAACCTTTGGCATGTACCCACTTAGCTAACGACTAGCTTCTTCCCAGATTCCAAATTAATGTCACCCGACAGCGTGTAACAGCCACAGCAGAGCCCCCCCCCCACACACACACTTTGTTGTGCTCTGTGTCCTAGTTTGCCTTCTCCTGCTGAGATGAAGCACCGTGACTAAAAGCAACTTGGGCAGGCAACGGTTTATTTGCTTTATACATCCAGTTCCTCATGAAGGGAAGTCAGGGTAGAAACTCAAGGAAGGAACTAAAGCCGAGGCCATGGAGGGGTGTTGCTTAAAGGCTCGCTCAGTCTGCCTGGAGACGGTACTGCCCCAGTGGACTGAAACCTCCCACTTTGATCATTAACCAATTACAGTCCAGTCTGACGGAGGCATTTTCTCAAGTGAGGTTTCTTCTTCCCAGGAGAACTTGAGCCTGCTTCAAGTTGTCAAAGACCTAACCAGCACACCCACATACTTGGCGTCCCCACCGAAGTATTTGGATGAACGCACTGATTTATGATTCTTTTGGTCTGTGTGTGACACAGAAGTTCCTGTAGCCTCTTCCACCGCAGCGCGTGTCACTCGGGGCAACATGAGCCACGCTCAGGCCATGGCCACTGTTTTACACTCCCTTACACCATCCTATTATGCTCAAGGAATTTTGGTCCCAGGCGCCACCTGCCACTTGCCAACTACAATCTCACTTCCCTGCGATCACCTCTGCTTCTCCTTTTTTACCATGCAGATCTAGTTTCCAAGTCTCACCCTGGGGGGCTCAGCTTCCCCCAGACTCAAAGGAGGCCTCCCAGTCACTTCTCCCCTGCTTTGACTTTTCTTCCTGCTCATCAAAGTTAAGTTCCGCCCCATTCCCAGGCAGGAAGATAATCGCTTACTGAGTACCTAATTGGATATTCGGGTCTCACGGAGGAATCGCTGAACAGGATTAACTCAGCAGTGGGCTCTGGCTTTACCCTGCCCTCCTCAATCCATTCTCCTCACCACAGCCTGAGACACCACTCCCATCCGTTTTCTCTCAGGAGCACGGGGGCGCTCCACCGCCAGCTGTTGCTACTCTCAGTCTACGCTGTCCCCATCTGTTCTCCAGCCACGCTGTGCTGCAGCTGCCACACCCAAGCCTCTCTCGCTTCCTGGCCTGGGCACGTGTTCAGGATGAGTGCCACTCTCTGGAGCCTTGCGTGTATTCTCCTGAAGTATCACAGAGAGGTAGGGTCCCGTCTTACTTGTTTACTCCATCACAAGGCAAAGTGCGTGCTTAGCACGCTAGGTGTCTAGCACACATTTACCCCACTTAGCATGCTAGGAAGCTCCAGCCCTGAATACTCCATGTTCTCCATAGAATTTAGCTCAGTGTGACCAACAGGCGCTCAACACAGATTGGTTTGAAAGTAGCACAGTGATTACTCTGACCCAGAGAAAAGTCAAGGGTACCCAAGCATCTTGATGGAGTATGGCCTTTTATGGATGTGAGCAGGGCCACTCATAAGCTGTAAAGAGCTTGATTCAATAGTTTGTAATTGATTCCGTGATTTCTTTCAACACGTCTTCCTACCACGCTGCTACTGGCGTTTAACTCTGGCTACATAGTCCCACAGGGATATTTTAGTCTTTGTTCAAAATAAAGGTACTAACGTTCCTAAAGAAGCATGATTCTGGGGCTGGAGAGATGGCTCAGCAGTTAAGTGCTCTTGTGGAACCTAGAGGACCATGGTTCAGTTCCCAGAACCACCAGCACCAGCTCCAGGGAATCTGATGCTCTTTGCTGGCCTCTCCCAGGCCACAGCTAGGTGCACGCCGTATATAAATAAGATAAACCTTAAGGAGAAAAGCAAGACATGTTCAGCTCAAAACCCCTGGCAATGTGCACATTTCCTTCTGTGAAATCACAGACCTGCTCTGAAACAATGCCAGTGAGTTTCAGAAATTCTGAGAAATGATATTTCGAGAGTCAGCCCTGTCCCCCACTCTAAACAAATAGTGACTTTTCCATTCAAAGCCGTCTGCACACACAGTAAATAGTAAGGTCTGTAGCTCCCGGTGGGGATGCGGGCTCCAATAGCCTCTGCTTTTCTTTCTGCCTACTGACCAACCAACAGACAGAAAAAAAATAAATTTAAAAAATAAACTTTCTACCTCGGTCCCGTTTGTACACAGGTATATGCAATCAAAATGAATAGTAACAAAACAAGCCTCGTGCCTACCCTATCAGATCCCGCTGCATTTCACTGGAAAGCAGGACTCACAACCACTACACCAGCTTCAAAACCCACATTTCCACACACACTGACAGCCCACAATAACTACAGTCTCTAACTGTAGCCTGGGACTGTAAGAGCACACCACTATGCCTGGCTTTTTACATGGGTGCTAGAGATCTCTATTCAAGTCTTCACTTTGTTTTTTAATTTTTCACACAGGGTTAAGTAGCCCAGGTTAGCCTCAAATTCGCAACTCTTCTGCCTCTGTCTCTCTAGTGCTGGGGGGAATGCAGACACCGACATAGCCAGAGAGGAACTCATTTGATTAGACAAATTCTGACGCTATTTTTAAATGACGAACACTTAAGTCTTTACCCTAGAGTCAGTCTTTCAAGGTCCTGGATTCTTTTTTCTTTGAGAGGACAAGGTGTCATTGTAACCCAGGCAGACCTTTGAATGTCTGATCTTCCTATTCCACCTCCTGAGTCCTGGGATTACAGATATGCACTATCATGCCAGGATAAGAGACTGTGTTGTCTCTGTCATTCATCTACATGGTCAGCTACTGGGGAAACAAATGAGTGGATCATATAACAGCCCAAGGTGCCCCGTACCTTAATATTGGAAAACCACAAATCGTTCTCATGCAGGGTAGCCAGGTAAACGGATGTAAGAAGTCCAATGCAAAGCGCCACCGTTCCACCAACCGCAGACGACAGGATCTTCCAGAACCTTCCAGAGGCATGATCTTTTAGAAAAGAGAAACACATGAGACACAAATTTAGAACTTAGAGACAGCTCCACTGTTAGCATCACTGGCTGTTCTCACAGTGACTGGGGTCTGGTTCCCAGCACCCGGATCAGGCTGCTCACAACCACCTGCGACTCCAGGTGCAGGGGAGCTGATGCCCTCTTCTGTCCTGTGCTCATCTGTACATCCGGCACACTGACACACACAGATGTGTAATTAAAAATAAATATTACAGAAACGATACAGCATCAATCAAAGGACATACAAACTAGGAAGGATACAAAGGTAGGAGATTTAAGGATGATCAGAAGGGATGAATGTTCTGGGAGGGAACAGATTAAGGCCACGAACTGTGAATGAGCAAAAGGAAACAAACGGCCAATAACTGTAGCCGACAGAAGAAAACCTGTTAAAATCCATTCACATTTCCTAGCGTTGACAAAAGAGTGAGCTGTACTTTAAAGATTCTTGGCAGATACGAAACTTAAAATGGCACGATCTGGGGGTGTGGCTCAGTGGTGGAGCACCTGCCTGGCATGACCTGCAACGCAAGAGGGATATATGTAAGTGAAGCTTAGGACTGCTTTGGGAATGCGCTGGTTAGTATTTATGTCAACTTGATACAAGCTAGACTCAGCTGAGAAGCGGGGGAAACGTCAGTTGAGAAACTGCCTCCCTAAGATGGGCTGCAGGCAAGGCTGTAGTGGCTTTTCCTGATCAGTGACTGATTGTGGGCTATGCAAAGCGTAGTCTTGATCGCTATAAGAAAGCAGGCTGAGCAAGCCACGAGGAACGAGGCAATAAGCAGCACTCTTCCGTGGCCTCCGCATCAGCTCCTGCCCAGTTCCCACCCCACTTGAGTTCCTGCCCTGTGTGAGTTCCCGCCCTCACTTCCTTGTTGATGGACAGCAATGTGGAAGTGTAAGTTGAATAAACCCTTTCCTCTCCGACTTGCTTCTGGCTCACGGTGTTTCATCACAGCAGTGGAAACCCTAAAACAGGAATGGATTTAAACAATCTAATATCTTAGGGACCGGAGAGACGGCTCAGGAATTAAGAGCACTTATTGCAGTAACAAAGGACACAGGTTCTATTCTCAGTACCTAACATAGCGACAAACTATAATTTCGGTTCCAGGGAACCTGATGCCCTTTTCTGACCTCCTGGGGTTCCTTCCTCCTTCTGACCACCAGGCACACGCACGTGGTGTACTTATGAAAGGCTCGGGACATGCAACAGGAAGAACAGCACGTTCTGGAGCAGTGCATGGATCTTGCCTCGCTTTATAAGGCTGCTTGAGGGTAACCACGTACAGATGCAACCTTCAGACAGCAAGAAAAACGCCATCATCTATGCCCTGGATGAGCAGGTTGGCAGAAGCAGTTTTTCCTTCTTTTTAAAATTGTCTTTTATTTTCAAGGTTGCTATCTTCAAAGTTGTTTTTTTTTTGTTTGTTTTGTTTAATTAAAAATAAAACCAAATGGGGCTGGAATGATGGCTCAGGGGTTAAGAGCACTTACTGCTTTTTGCAGAGGACCCAAGTTCGGATCCCATCACCCACATGGTGGCTCATGACCAATTGTAACTCCAGTTCCAGGGAACCCGATACCCAATTCTGACCTGAGAGGACACCAGGCATACATGTAGTACATGTGGAGGCAGAAAATAAATAAATAAATACATCTTCAAAAAACCAGAAACAACCTAGGAGCTGGTGGGGCAGCTCAGTGAGCAGGGGTGCTTGCTGCCAAGCTTGATAACCTGAGTTTAATTTCTTTAACCCACAAGGTGGGAAGAGAGAACATTTTCATGCTAGTTTTCCTCAGATCTTCACATGCATGCCCTGGTGAGCCACCACACATACAAGGCAAATAAATACATGTAATTTAAAAAAAAAAAGACACAATCTAACATAAATGTTAACTGCACATCATCAGAAACTACTCCGAATTACCTAATATCATCAGCTTGATATTCTGATGCCTCTCATCAGCTTGGCCGAATGGCCTACCTTTCCGACTGAGAGACCTTTTATCTTATTAGACAGCTTTCTCTGCCATCTACTAGCTCTGGCTGGTAAGAATTCATCCGGCTACAAAGGATTAATTATGTCCCATACAGAAAATGGCTGACGGGTGTGGAGTTTTTCATGCTCACTAGAAGAAATTTGGCCATGTTTAATTACCTAGCAACTGCTCAGCGTTATATAATAAACAATTCGCCAAGTTCCTTTCCTTCTCCTGCCTTCCCTTCCTACCCACTCCCTAAATAAAGCAAAAGAGGTAACTTCAGGAATTTGCCTGAATACAAAAATGTTAAATCTCCTTTTCGAAGACTAGTCATTTTAATGACATGAGACTAAACGGAGATAAGGGTACGGGCAGGGGACGCTATACAAGGTACTGTAGAAAAAGACAGTTGGCTAGGGCAGGCGAAGCATCCCTCTCAAGGGCCTGATGACACTGCCACTGTAATTTAATCAAAACATAACTTACCAAGGATCCCTTCTCATCAAAGCTCTCTTTTACTGATTACAGCTGAAAAGCCAATATAATCAAAGTACAGTCAGAATTTCTGGGTGCTGGGACAAGTGTCCTTCACACATCTCACCAATTTTTTTTTTTTAACCCTATTAGATCGTGACATATGTTAATACGCGGAAGTGAAAGGAATCCAAAATACTGCTTTAGCCCCAGTCACCTACCAGATGGCAATTTCTTTTCCAATTTCACATCTTCTTTTGGTGATGGAAAATCCTCAGAAACTTCTATGGGTTTTGTCTCTTTTCTTTGCCGGATATCCATCATGATGTCAAAGGCTCATTTGCATTGTCCTTCCAACCACTCCTACAAACGACATCCAGATGAATGCCCATGGAAACGTCAGCACCCACTTTACCCAATACACCTTTATGCTCTTAGGTACTTCAATGGCCTGACAACCTGCTGTCCCCTGCTCAGCAGACCGTCCCATAGAAATCTTAATCAGCCTCTAGAGACACGACACAGTGTTTAACTTAACCATATTTATGAAGCACCTGTCCTCCAGCAGGCACTGCCAGGAGGCGGGGGATACAGGTGAGCCACAGGAAGAAGCCTAGCACTTCTTCCAGGAAGCCATCTTGGATGCTCCAGCGCCTTGTGATATTTTCCCCTCCCCGATTCCGTAACACTAACTGTGGGATATGTTGCGTGACACAGTTTTACATTATTTTCTATAGTTCCGACAGAAAGTAGTGGGCCTGATTCTCCCACAGAACTGACCACGTGGGAGGGATTCCTAGTAAACTTGTGACAGCCAGATTTTGAAGAACTGAAACAGCTTCTGATACCTGAATTTTAGCACCTGTGTTCTTTGGGAGGGAAAAAAATCCTTGCTAAGCTTTATGCCTGGGTGTCAAAGACAGTGCGGGGCCGTGCCAATCAGGGTGGCTGCTCTCCCTGGGGAGCAACTGTGGGTGTAGCTGCGGGAGCAGTTACCTAGTTTGGAAGCTGTGAGGGGGAGGCGGGGGTGTGGTGGTGGTGGTGGTGGTGAGTAAGCTGGCTTCAGTCCCCCGGGAACATCTTGCCTGGTTCCTCTGACTAATGAATAGCGTTTTACTAATTATCTATTAAAGATGAGGAGTAGCCAGACGCGATTGTTTCGGCAGCGAATCAATCCAACCTGCACTGGGGTACCAAAGTCTATGTTTATCTAACGGAAAGGCTCTTGCTCAATACAACAGAGGAAGCCAACGCAATTCTTTTGTTAAGATTCGTTCATTCAAAAATGCTGAGACGGAACACAGATTCAAATGCAGTGTGCTCAAAAGCACAAGAACCGGGACGGGGGGTGGGGGTGGAGGGCGGAGAGGGAATCTTTTCAAAGTCTTGCAGCCACAGCTGGAATCCTGTCCCCTCTTGGGGCGTTATATATCCTTCCTGCTAGCCCTTGGCGGGTAAGGGCTATACAGGGCCCACCTTACATCCACCCTGAGCCTGTTGAGGCAGAAAGTTAACAAACACGCAAGGTGCTAATTACGATTCGCCTCTGGATGGCAACAACCTCACCAACTAGGAAACAAAAAGTTGCTCCGGCCAGCGGGATGCAAAGCCCTGTCAGACGTGAGCAAAGGGACCCTAAGGCAATTCCAGGACTACGGACCAGGACGCGCGCCACTCCCCCGCACCTGGAGCCACTCCCCTGCGCACCTGGCGAGCCCACCCGAGGGCCAGGTGCTAGCCGGCCCGGGGAACCTCGAGACACACGCTTCCGCTCAGACACGCTCCCTCCCACGCCCCGCCCACGTGTCCCGTAGACACGGCGCGTCCAGTTCCCTCGCGGCCCGACCCGCTGCCACAGACCTGCGGCCTCAGCAGTCCTCGCGGGCTCCTCAGGATTGGCAAGGAAGCACGCCGAGCACCCAGGCCTTGAGGACGCTCCCACTCCACGGGCTACAGAGAGGTGAGGACCCGGAGGACCGAGCGATCTCCGGCTCTGTGCAGCGCGGTGCAAGGATGGGCCTGGGGGGCGTCTGCAGCCCCGAGAAGGGGCGCGCCGGGGAGGCCGGGCCGCTGCCGCTGCATTCATTGGTCCCGGCGACTGTTCATCAACGCGAGGCCCCGCCCCCGCCTCCCGCGCTGCCCCGCCCCGTCTCGTGCGGCGCACACCGGAAGGAAGAGGTACACTTCCGCTCGGAGGTTGGTTGTGGGCAGTACGTTCGGAGGCAGATGTTAAGCTTAGCGTGTTCTTGTCCTCGGAGTTCCTGGTGCCCCGAGGAAAGGTTTACCCAGTCTCCAAAGGTTTACCCAGTCTCCGGGGACCTTCCCGGGTCTACCTCGTGCCCCCAGTGTCCAGCTGTATGTGCTTTCAACGTTGTTTATTGACAAAATCCGCGGACACTTTGCGGTCTCCAAAGACACGCCTCTCAATCCCCACACCCTTAACCCCCCTAGTACTGCTCTGGGGTTTGTTGTTAATTCTCTTCCTTAACAAGTGCCTCCGGTATTGAGTCCTGGATGTTACTCTTCTCTTTAAATTGCTTGCCAGCCTCTTAGAGACAGGGTCTCACTACGTAGCTCTGGTCTGTATGTAGACCAATTTGGCCTCAACTCTGCTCCGCCTCCTGAGTGCTGTGACTAAAGAAAGGAGTGTGCCAGACTGAATTTTGGTAGTGGATGACTCTCTGAGATCAGTGCCTATGAAAAGGCGGCCTGTCATCTAATTCCAACAAAAATTGCTCTATCCACCCTCCCTGCCTTTCTTAGCTACTTGTCCCTGATCTTTTTTCTCTTTTGACTATCAACTGTTAATACCAAGAACACACTGCTCAGAATGTTTTATTAGATAGGCCCCCACACCTTCTTAAAGTGACTTGTGAGACATGTAACTGCCGTGAGGCGCATGTCCCGTAGGGGAACAGTATTCAGCTGGTGCTTGATGTCTAACACGAGGCAATAACAGTCATGAGATCATCAGTAGTAGTGCTTCTCATAGAAATTGGTTTCGTACTGCTAAGAGTAAAGTCTGAGAGTTGAGGTCTTAGATCGTGCTCCCATGGTCCTGCTGAGGAGGCTTCGGCAGGGGGGTGACAAGTCCAACTCTTGCCTGGGCTATATGCGGAGACGTAGAGTACTGGCTTGTCACAAGCATGCAATAAGACAATGAGTTACAGGGAAGCAGACTAGAAAGATGAGGAAAATTATGGAGAAAGGAAGAAGAATTCCCCCATTCCATTGCAGATCTAGAGGAAGCCTCTCGACAGCTGCAGGCAAGGATTCCAGCACACAACACTTGCTGTAAAGTTTGCTAATATAGAAGTGATATTCTTCTCATGGATCTTATGTTAAAATGGGCCTGAGTTAAGGCCTGAATGTATCTGACCTTTGGGCCTCATTCATTTCCCCCAGATGGAAATCTCAAGAAAAACGTTTACCTTTATTTACAGTAAAGATACCCTACCCTAGGGCTTCAGAGATGGCTCAGCAGTTCACGGCTGCTCTTCCAAAAGACCTAGGTTTGGCTCTAGAACCCACGTGGCAGCTCCAACCATCTGTAACTCCACTTCCACGGGATCTGATGCTCTCTTCTGGCCTCTGTGGGCATCAGACTTTTATCTGGTGCACATATATACATTCAGGCAAGATATCGATTGATACACATGCAATTTAAAAAAAAAAATCTATAAAGATGCCATGCCTTCCTGCACTTCTGTGATCTTGCCAGTTGTAATGTTGACAGGTGTCTCTCAGGAATTACTCTGACAAAGGAAGAATGCAAGAAGGGGGGGGGCTGGAGAGATGGCTCAGAGATTGAGTACTTGCTGTTCTTGTAGAAGACAACAGTTAGGTTCAGGCACCCATGTGAGCCAGTAGCTTCAGTTCCAGATGTTCTAACGCCCTCTTCTGGGAACCCACACAGACACACAAATAAAAAGGGATCTTAAAAATGCAATTAGAACCATTTTTAAAGTCCTAGGACCCAGGTTCAGTTCCTAGCACCTACATGATGGCTTACAACCATCTGTAACTCTCACTTCAGATAATCTAATGCCCTCTTCTGATTCCCAAGGGCATCAAGGATGCATGAGGTGCACATACTTGCAGGGAAAACGCTCATAAAAAAATATAAATAAGGGGGTGGTTGGTGAGATGCCTCAGTGGTGAAGAGCACTGGCTTCCCCTCTGGAGGACCTCCATTGAATTCCCAGTACCCACGTTCTCAGTAACTCCTGTCCCCGGGGATCTGATCCCCTCTTCTGGCGTCAGCGGGCGGTCCATCCATACAGTGCAGACATAAAGGCAAAACACTCATATACATAAGATAAATCTTTTAAAAGTTTTTAAATAGAAGTAAGTCTTTTAAAAAGTATTAACTTGGGTGATAGCCATGGAGATGAAGAAAACTCAGCAAATCTGGGATATTTAGGTGCTCCGTGCAGCTGGAGTAGTGTGGGTGTCTGTACAGATTATGTAAGAGGGAAGAAGCTACGCTGGCTCCCAGGTTTCTGACTTGAGCAGTCAGGACTGCGGGACACAGGAAAAGAAAAGCAGGCTTGGGGTGATTAACGACTTAAAGGACCATTGGCTTTTTGTTTGTTTGTTTTTGTTTTTTGTTTTTTAAACACAGGCAGAGCTGGCTCTGCCCAGGAAAGCTGACCTGGAACTGTCTGATCAGCCACCGCATGGCTGGCAGCTGGCTCTTGGCAAGTTGCTGCTCTCTCCACAGGCTGTTGGAGTAGCCTCAAGGCATAACCTCTGACACCTGAGGGCTTCCAAGGCGTCTGTGGTAGAGGGAGGGCAGTGCAGGACGGGCTGGTCATGCCGTGGTGGAGACAGCAGGCGGCGGCCTTCCTCCTTTTTCACTTTCACCCGATTTGGGCTGGGGCTGGAAGCATGCCCATTCAGGGCAGGTCCAGCACCTCAGTTAATCCTTACACAGATCCACCCTGGGACGCGCTTCATCAAGCCCTTCCATGTACTGCCATTTCTTCCCTTTCTGTCCACCCTGCAGTGAGTAGTTCTCTCCACACATCGTCCTCCAAGGACTGAAGGCAGAAGCCACAGGAACCATGAGCCAAAACAAGTGGCCTCTTACAGTGTCTTACCGTTTCCTGTCAGATATTTGGGCCATCATGGTGGAAAGTTGACTCATACGATGTCCCCGTTCTGTATGACTTAATTTTGGCTCTGGGAGTGTGTGACTTGTGAGGCTAGGGCATAGGACAGTCCAGTGTCGGCCTTAGCGTCTGTAGGATTGCTCACTTAGGGAAGGATTTCAGTGTTGTGCCTTGAGGCTACCCCGACGGCCTGTGGAGGGAGGCCCATGAGCAGCCACTTGCCAGCCACTTGCCAGTGAGCTATCCTGTTAGCAGCTCCTAGACAGCTTTGGCTGATAGCAGGTTCCATCCTGGGCAGAACCACCTCTGCTTATCACTCTTACACATTGAAACTCTGAGATAGTGGATGCTTATTGTTGTTGTGAGGGGGTAGATATGGAGGGCTTTTATTTACAGTGATAGGTAATCAATACAATATTGATCACAAATATGGACATGGCATGATATATATTCTCATTTAACTGGATGTTTAGGATATATATTATATATAGTTATATATAATATATTCATATATAATTTTATATTTATACATATTGAATATAATTATCATATAATATATAAAATTGAATATATTATATAATATACTTATAATATGTAATATATTATAAAATTTATATATTATAATATATAATATACTATGTAGTATTTATCATATATACTACATAATGTTATAATACATACTATATATGATATATATTATAATATTTATATTATATGAATGTTTTGTTTGCTGTGTATGTCTGTTCATCTCCTGATGGCCAGGAGATCAGGGCAGGGTATTGAATCCTCCGAAACTGGAGTTACAGATGGTTGTGAGCCGACATGTGGGTGCTAGGAATCAAACCTAGTTCCTCTGCAGGAGCAGCAAGTGCCCTTAACCACCCAGCCCCTCTCCAGCCCCTGTCTTTCTGTTGTTTATTCTGTATCCTGGGCTGGCCTGGAACTGCCTATGTAGACCAAGTTAGCTTCCAAGAGATCTGCCTGCTTTTGATTTCCCATGCTTGGACTGATGACATGGACTAATTATGCCCAGTTTCTGATTTTATGCAATTTTAAGCAAATCTGTAAGAACATTCTTAGACATACAAATTCTTTAGGAAATGTGTCTAGAAATAGAATTGAGAGAACTCGTGTTCTCATTTGTGATAAAAGTTGGCAAACTACATCGTAAAAGGATGAACAATTCCATTACTTTAATTTTCATTACCAGTTTGTATTACAGCTAGGATTTCTCTGTACCTTTGCCAACAGTGGACAATTCAGTCTTTGCCAATCTTAGAGGGAAAACAGCATATCGTTATGTTAGGGTTTTCTCAGGGGTGGGGGATGGCCTGCTGGGGCTAGGACACAAGGCTTTGCACATGCTGGGCAAATGCTTTACCATTTATTAAAGCCTCACTCCTCGACTCTTTGTTTTTGCAGCAGGGCTGTGGACGTGGTGTATAACCCAGGCTAACCTCAAACTCATCCTGTAGTGCAGCTGACTGTGAACTCAAGATGGCTCTCCCTCCTCCTTCCAAACACTTGGTTTATAGCCATCCCCCACCACAGCCCCCATATGTGTTTATCAGGGTGATGATATCGGGGGGTTTTATTTGTTTTTACTCTGGTTGCTCTTTTTATAGGCTTTGTCCTGCTCTGGTATTTAATCTCCTGTGGAGTGGAGTTATCCTCCGTTTGCTGTGAGTGTATACTTACTGTTTGTCATGGACGTCACAGGCAGCTGCTCGTCCCTGTGTTAGGTATTGGCTGTCTGCTGCTCTTTGGGAGTTTCCCAGGTTTATGGGATCAAATCTGTCATTCATTCCCATAGCTCACAATGTTTACAAGCTCTCTCATTTCA